ATCATCATCATCATCATGCATCTCATCATGCATCTCATCATGTATCATCATCATGCATCATCATCATGTATCATCATCATCTATCATTATCATGTATTTTCATCATCATCTATCATCATCAATATCATCATGATTGTAATCATCGTCATACCGCTTTACATTTGATATACGTACAACGCGCTGTTTTAATGCCAAATAGACTTCTTTGACCTGGACACCTGAATATGGATACATTTCAATCAAAGAAGCATGGGTGGCGTGCACTGCTAATGCGTCGCCTATCACCAATGCGGCCAGAGTTCAAGTCCTGCCGGTCTCTGTGTCGTATGTGATTAGAGTTGTTTGTTGGTTCTCTGCTGCGTGCTAATGCGCCGCCTCTCACCAATGCGGCCCGGCTTCGAGTCCTGCCGGTCTCTGTGTCGTATGTGAGTAGAGTTGTTTGTTGGTTCTCTGCTGTGCTAATGCGCCGCCCCTCACCAATGCGGCCCGGATTGGAGTCCTGCCGTTCTCTGTGTCGTATGTGATTAGAGTTGTTTGTTGGTTCTCTGCTGTGTAGTATGTGAGTAGAGTTGTTTGTTAGTTCTCTGCCGTGTAGTATGTGAGTAGAGTTGTTTGTTAGTTCTCTCCTGTGTAGTATGTGAGTAGAGTTGTTTGTTGGTTCTCTCCTGTGCTTCAAGGGTTTTTCCTCCGGGTTCTCCGATTTTCCTCCCTCCCATTCCTCCTCTAAATTCTAATTTGATCTATCGGCTGCCTTATCAATTGGGCTGCAAAACCTGTTGTTTAGCATTACGCCGTCCTCCCAGGAGTGGTAAATACATTAGAAAGAATCTTATTTACAAGAGAATGACCAGTTGTCCGAGATGCTCCCTTTTTGTCTCTCTCTCTTATGTGCAAGTGCTAAAGTTTCTACCCTCCCCTAAGTTTTTTTTTAGTCTTTAATATTATTGATTTTTTTTTTTCTTTTATAGCTTCACAGCCAAGATAACAAAAATTTCAAAAGGGGCTGTGTTAAGAAAGAAGAATGCTCCGAAAGCGTCAATCCCATGTGCAAAACAGCTGCCTATGGAACAAGTAAAGATTGCAACCCCCTCTGCTGCAGTACTGACCTATGTAATGCGGGCTCAAATTTGGAGGTCAGCGTTGTCATTCTAGTGTCATGCGTCTTGGGAATTTTAACTTTATTCTAATGGCATTCTGGATCGTAGAGCCCGCGTTTTTTTGGGTTTCAATCAAGAAATGAGGCGGCGAATCCTAGGACCAAAACCATGCAACTCTTTCCTGTCACGATCTTGTTTATCTACTTTTGGCGGGTTTACATTTTGATCACGAAGACACTCGTTCTTAACCAATCTTCCTTTTGCCTTATTTGGTGATTATCCAGAATTCTTTTCGATCTTAGCCTCATCAATTTCAACAAGACAATCATTCTGTAGTTTAAAAAGTCGAAAATAATTGTTTTTTTGTTAGTTTTTTTATATGGACGGCAGCCTTTACTGTATTGTTAGAGTAATACTATACTCATTATCCTTCTTTCTACTCGAAAACAATAAAAAATAACCTCAAATATACCGTTAAACAATAATCAATTTATCTTGAAAATAATAATTTACTTCGTTGCCTAGCGACTAAAAGATTTCTCAAAGCAAAACTTTTAATTAAGTTTTCAAAGAAAAGAAAACCACGAGAGCGTTAAGTGAACACGACGGACAACTCGAGTAATTCACTGTTCTGAAAAAAACTCCTTTAAAACTTTATTCCATTAACAAGCTGGTAAGTATTAATATTAGTGCTTTTTATATTAGTATTTATTGAAGTTTACCTCTCGTTAAATAGTTGTTGATTCTGAGTATTTTTAATGATAAATTGTTTGTGTTTTTCAATTCATGGAATTAGTTTAGAATCAACAAATTAATGAGTTAAAATCATCTTGACACTATCGCCAAAAATCTTTATTAATCTATAAAACAAATAAAGTACATTTAAGTGGACCTATTTCAGAAAGTTGTCGAACTAAATATTATTGTTTACGTACGTGGTAAATAATCCAATTACCGTGTCGAACTTCAAGGCAAAGGAATCTGATTATAATTTACCCACGACGACTCGAGCAATGCAATTCACTATGCAAAGCTAAGTAAACTGAGAAGAAAAGTAGTTAATAGTGTTCTGTATTTATACCAAGAGGGATGTATTGGCTACGATCTGATAGGTAAAAATGTGGGTTTAGCTTGGTTTGGGCTTTTAATAAGACTCGTTATAACTTGCGTACTACGCGTACGATGACACGAGCTGCAATTCACAATGCACTGAAGTCAAGACTGAAAAGTATTCTGTACAAAAGAGAGATAGTGTGTGTTGACTGCAATAGGTAAAACTGACATGTTGCTTTAGCCTTCTTTGGCATTCTTCTTCATTCTTCTTCTTCTGAAGGCGTGCGCTGCTAATGCGCCGCCTCTCACCAATGCGGCCCGAGTTCGAGTCCTGCCGATCTCGATGTAGTATGTGAGTAGAGTTTTTTGTTGGTTCTCTCCTGTGCTTCGAGGGTTTTCCTCCGGGTCCTCCGGTTTTCCTCCCTCCTCAAAATTCAACTTCTAAATTCTAATTCGATCTCTGGGCTTTTACTTTATTTGGAGCCTAGCTCTGTTGTGATTGTCCCACGCTGTGATACGACAGCGAAAAGCTTTGTAGATTTTTTTTTCAGTACGTCGTTTCATACGAGGCTCGTAATTTACCTATTACGCATGTTCTTATATGATTTTCGAGCCCATCCCACACGGCTTACCGCCTCATCTATCATTGCTTTATTTAGTCTGGCTTTGGCTTCTAAAAGAACCATGATAAATCTCGATTATTTTGAATTTGGAAAGTATAGGACATTCAACGTTGAAACAATATTTCACCACTTTTAATCAATCCTATTCAAAAACAAACATTTTACGCGGTAATTACAATCGCACGAATCCGGATTTTTTAAAAGTTTGTTTTGATATCATATGTAGATCATATCATTGTATTGCGCAAAAAAATATGCGTGATCCGCGACCGTGAGTTTCGAGTTCTCTGTTGCTCAGGTTTAGCCTCGATTTTGTGTAGAATGTTCACGTGTTCCAGTCAAGGTCCGTGGTATTTCAAAGTGTTTGTATTGTTAAAGTTGTGCATTCTTTACTTTACCGTTTGTATTTATGAATATTTAGACACTGATTCAAGGTTAACCCTGAGTAAATGAGTCTGTGATCAAGGAACACAGTGGTAATTTTCAACTCGAAAAGACTATTAAGTCCCGTCCTACTGAGCGGCTTAATGTGAAGGTCAGTAGAAAATGTAACTTTTACCCCAACATACAAAGTAAATCTAACCAACCTGCTGCAGTCAAGATTAATCGACCACTCGCTCGCCTCTCAGTTGGGTCTCTCATTTGATTTGAGGGTTTTTTTCTAGGTTCTACAGTTTTCTGTACTCCACGCAAAACCTAACACATTACACCAATTCGGTCGTTGCATGAATCTCATGCCCTGACTTAGATCGGCACAGAGGTTGTTTCAGGGTTTGCTCTGTGACTTAGCCGTGCCCTGACTTTTAATAGATCAAATCAATTACAAGACTCAGATTTTAACTCCACTACAGCTATATTCTTTTTCTGCATATCCTCGAATAATAATAACATCTAGAACGCCAGTACCTAAACATTTCGTTTTCATTCCATTTGATTCCAATTATAAATATTTTTTATTTACTCGAGCACAAAAAACGCAAAAGAAAAACCCAAGAACAGTAATTTACTCTAATTTATTTTTATCAAATCGAAATAAGAAATTTCGGATCTTCGAGAAATTTCAATTTTTCATTTTAATCAACTTTTTCTGTTTTTTGTTTTCTCATTTTCTCTTAATCCAATTTCCTAAAGAAGAAATTTAAGATATTCGAAAAATTTCAATTCTTTATTTTTAATCGAGGTTTCATTTCTTTTTCTTTCTTTCTTTCTTTCTTTCTTTCTTTTTTTTCTTTCTTTCTTTAGTTTGGTATACAGGCAGTCCAAGTGTATGATATGACATGGTACTTGTGTGGTATACTTGCAGTCCAGGTGCATAATATGACAT